AAAATAAAAAAAAATGTGAAAAATTATAATTTAATAATTACAAGTGTCTCTCAAATCAAAATGATATTTTAAATGTAAAATGTGACATAAGATCGTAATGTAATAAATCGTAGGTTCCTCCATGAAATAATATTTGTTTTTAATAAAAATATGACAAAAGATAAATAACAAATGTTTCTTGAAGCAAAAGAGTCGTTTTCATGGAAAATGTGAGAAATCTGATAATTACAGATTAACTTCGAAAGATGTTGGTTTTCATAAAGATTGTGATAAAAGTTGATAATTTAATTTAATACATACTCTTCAAGCCAAAATATTCATTTGAATGCAAAAATGGTACAAAAGATATGAATTTAATATGTATGTGCATCGCCGGAACCAATTTATTCGTTTTAATACAATGTTACAAAATATGGAAATGTAATAATTACAACTTCTTCTCAAACCAAAATATGCATTTTCATTAAGAAATGTGACAAAATGATTTATTTTTGCTTCCAATCAAAATGATCCTTTTTGAACAAAAATGTTGCAAAAGATGAAAATTTAATAAATTATCAAGTCAGTGTTCGTTGTGATAAAAATATGACAAAAGTGTATAGTTTAATAATTACAAGTGTCCTGCGGAAAATGTTCGTTTTTCATTAAAATGTGGCAAATGATATTTTAATAATTATAAGTTCCTTTCAAAAGAAAATATTTTCATCAGAAATGAGACAAAATAATGACTCGTAAACCAAAATGTTAGTTTTCAAAATTGTAAGAATTCCTCTCGAACAAAATGTTAATTTATATAAAATGTTAATTTAATAATTACAACCCCCACTAAAAATGTTGATTTTCCTTCAGAATGTGAAAATATAAAGTTTAATAATTACAAGTGCCACTCGAATGAAAATATTCATTTTTGTAACAAATATGGCAAGCGATTATAATTTAGTAATTACAAATACCCCTCGAACGATAATGTCGATTTTCAAACATTTAAGAAAGGATGAAAATTTAATAATCATAAGTGCCATTGCAAACATAATATTCGTTTTCAAAAATATGACAAAAATTAATAATTACAAATGCTACGCGAATGAATTGAATAAGAATGTTCCTTTTTATGAAATGAGAAACGATAACAATAATTACAAGTGATTCTCGGACGAAAACTTTGTTTACATAGAAAAATTAAGAAATGATAAATTAGTAATTAGAATTGAGACACGAAACAACGTTCGTTTTCATCTAAAATGTGACAAAGATGATAATTTAATGATTACATATGCCACGGAAACCAAAATGATTGTTTGCATCCAAATATTGTAAGTGAAAAGGACCTCTAATCAGTGGTTAATTCGGGTAAGTAATAGCTTATAAATTTTGAACACTTCAAAAACGAAACTACTTTCATTTAATCACCATAGATAACCTTTTCTGTCTGCCATCAGTATGGCTGATGCTAACCCCCAGGAGAGCAACTTTCTAAGTATTCGTGGGCTCACATTTTCCACTGACATATACTGGAGTGATTACATTGAATCAATTTTTAGGTTTACTGCTAGATAAGTTGGTTCATTGTGTCGTTCCAGACAAATTATCTGGTCAAAATACGACTCGCATTCATCTCTGCCATATCTGGTCTGGTGGTCCTACTATATATCTCGAGATTTTTGATAAAATTCAAAGAATTCAATGGATCTATAATATAATCGATCCTGGAATCTACCCACTGTCTTTTCAACAAATATTTTCATGGCATATTTTCATTGTTCTAATAACCTTACCTACTTGGTGCCTCAGCAGCATAAATTTAAGCGTGCTACTAGATTGGAAAATAGATACCACCGTTTTTATATTGAATTACCTAGATGCAGCAGTATGTTCTATTTTAATATTTTTTCTCACACTTCATGCTTGTGGAACTCGCTTCAGATTTCTTCCTCTTCCTCGTACAATGATAAAAAATATAAATGCAACGCTAATCGTCATCTGTCTTTCTGAATCCTGTCCTTTACGATTTTTACATCACTTTCAGTATTTTCATTACCTCACTTTTCAGTATTCTCATCGTCTTTCACTACAACTAACTCTTTTCTTTCTAGTGGAATTATAGCCCCGATTGGGGCGAAATGATAGAACTGATCGAACAAATGCTGTTTTTCAATAAAAAATGTGCAAATTTTGACATATGCAGAATCGACACTTCCCCAAAAGCTGATTTTCAATCTAAAACTTCAAATAAGGAACAATTATTATGCAGAATCAATACAACGCATAAAGTGAGTTTTTTCCATCCAAAATCTGACATAATTATATAATGAAAAATTATCGACATAAAAATCTGTCTTTCAATCAGAAATGTGGCAAATAATGATAATTTTATAATTAGAAGATATGACACAAAATGCTTCTTTCATTAACAAATACTTTTTAATTTCGTAATTAAAAAACTATAAACGCACAAAAAGCTGTTTTTCAACCCAAAATATTAGAATAATGATAATTTCATCATTAGAAAGAATGACACAAAAAGCTGCTTCTCAAATAGTTTGACATTTGATAAATAATTTCATAATTAGAAACTATAATCTATTGAAAATGTGTCAAATAATGATAATTTCATTAGTAGAAGCCATCATCCTACCACAAAAGCTGTTTTTTGCATGTACAATGTGATATGTAATTTCATAAGAAGCGATAATTACAAAAAGCTGTTATAATTTCCTAATTAAAATTAATGGCACGAGAATCTGCTTTTCATTTGGAAAAATTATAATTACATACGGTATTTACAAAAATGCAAAATGTTAAAAAGCGATAATTACATAATTAGAAAGAATAATCAATAATGTGACAAATGGTTTCATAAGAAACAATCTGCACACAAATAAATTCTCAATTAGAAACTATCTTTGCAAAGTTGATTTTTAATCCAAAATGTGACAAATAATGTTAATTTCATAATTAGAAATGATCTGCGAACAAATAGCTAGTTTCAATCCAACATGTGACAGATAATAATAATTTCATCATTAGAAAATTTCTGTGCACAGATAAATGTGACAATGATAATTTCATAAGAAGCGAAGCTGTTTTCAATCCAAAATATGACAAATAATAATAATTACATAATTAGAAATTATCTGCCTACAAATAGCCGTTTTTCAATCTAAAATTTCATAATTAGAAATGATCTGCGAATAAATAAATTTGACAAATAATGATCATTTAAAATTAGAAACTATCTGGACATAAATAGTTGTTTTTCGATCCAAAACATGACAAAATAATTATAATCTAATAAAGAAAGAATCAGCACACAAATAAATGATAATTTCATAATTAGAAACGATCTTGGCACAAAAAGTTTTCTTTCAATGAAAATGTGACAAATGAAGCTAATTTTATAATTAGAAACAATCCCTATCTACCTCAGTACCCAATAATAGATTATAACAAGCATCGACAAAATAATTTATTTGGTCGAATAAGGAAATTGAACGGCAAAAATAAATGAATTTTAAGTTCAATCTCATTCCTTTCTGAATTTTTTCCAAGTGGAAAAATTAAAATTTTATTAATCCATAAAATAACGTATAAATAGGAGATCAATCTCTTAATTACTGGACAATTTAAATAAAATAGTTGTAATTCAGGGAAACAAGACAGTTTGACAAATATCCACTAATTGATCGGACTTTCTCTTTTTAGTTCTAAGAAATAGTCAAAATTTGCATTTGCTTGTCTAAATGTTTATTGTGCCTGTTTTATTTTCAGGAAAAGAGCACTGTAAAATGTTTGTTAAATGTAGCATTGTAAATAAAATCATGCCGGTAGTCGTCATCGACACGTAGACAAATCGATTAAAATGAGCCACATTTAGCACATGGTTAAATTCATCGATCATCTAGGAATGAACTCACACCATTTGATTCGTTTTAAATGTATGATACCAATCAATATCTGTATGTAAAAATCTCTTTCCGGTTTTTGTAAAATTATTAGATTATCAGATGATTTTCTCCCATCAGCCTTGTGACGGATCATAAATTTCTTTGTTGAATAATCATTAGACTTTAGACCGAGATCACGAAGAAATTCAACCATCTGTATTAGAGAAAACATTAATAATTTCTTTAATAAATTAAAACGAATGTGAATATTTAACTTTTATCACGAATAGCGAAAGTGATGACATTGAAAATGAAATCTGCCATTATCAAGTTTGAATGGATGTTGCTTGTTTAAAGTTTGACATTTTCAAGATGTAGCATGCTTCACGAATACTTGTATAGTTTTTATATTTTAGTTTTAAGTTTAAAACCGGTCCTCTTCTATAAATTAACGTTAATAGAAGAAAAGAGAAAGCAAAAAATCCTTAAGATTTCGGTTTCAGTTTGACTCAACAAAAGCAACTCTGTACACACCAACAACTTTTTTACGATGTCAATACGTAATGCACCGTCTCATGTGAAAGACACAAAGGCGACAAACGCTGATAAGAGTGAATACATACAATCACACTTATTGCACATAGAAACAATTCTCATGTTAAGAACGCATTCATAATGAATGCGATTGACACAAACCATCCCAGATTAAAATGAAAAAAAAATATTTGCAGAAAACATTGTCTTTTTCTTTTTTCCGCCATTTTATATTGCTACTGTCTTATTTGTCTTTTTCCTTCAATTGCAAACGTTCTAATTTACCATTCAAGGAGATTTGTTGTCTGCCCCGACGCAATTTGCAGGAGGCAATGAGAGATTGAGACAAACAGGGCGGGTGTTTTTTTAAATGTAAATACAAATGAGAATAAGAAAAAGAGTAGGGTATAAAGAAAAGACGTTCACACGATACGAAGAAGAAGAAAAAAACAACAACATTTGAACAAAACAAAAAAGCCTGTAAAAGAAAAAAGGACAAATAATAAAAAAAAGCTAATGAGAGTAGAGGGAAGAGAAAAGGGAAGAAAAGTAAAAAAAGAAAGAGTAAAATTCGAGAAAATGTTATAAAAAAACAATGAGAGAGAGAAAGAGAGAGAGAGAGATGGAGGGATGGAGGGTGGTGGAGAAAGAGTTAGAGAGAGAGAGATGGATGGAGGGAGAGAAAGAGGGAGAGAGATAGAGTGAGGTAGGGAGAAAAAGACAGGAAGGGGGAGAGAGATGGATAGAGATGGAGAGAGAGATAGAGTGAAAGAGATGGATGGAGAATGTGAGATAGATAGAGGGAGAGTGTGTGAGATAGATGGAGGGAGAGGAGAGAGATGGGGAGAGAGAGAGAGTGAAGAGAGTGATGGAGGGTAGTGAGATGGAAGGGAGAATGAGGGGGGAGATGGAGGGAGGGAGATGGAAGGAAATTGAGAGTGAGAGGCTAGAGTGGGTGAGAGAGAGAGAGAAAGAGAGAGAGAGAGAGAGAGAGATGAGAGTGAAACGGAGATACTGAAAAGAAAAAAATTAGAAAATGGAAACAAAGAGAACATGAAACGAAGATAAAATGGTAAATCGGACATGAATAAAAGAAAGTGACATTAGGAATTCTACGAAAAATACTAAGGATGATAGTAAATAATCAGAATAAGTGAAATGAATATAGAATGAAAATGGCGGCTTAATGAATGTACAGGTTGAAGGTGAACGGATGGAATGTATTATAAAAAGGAAAACATCGCCACATTTTTAAGTGGAGTATTTTTAAATAAACAGTGAAAAGTAAAAAGAAATAATTAAAAATGTAAGATTATATAAAAAGATATTTAGGCTATAAGGAAAGAATTGAAGCTCTCGAGAAAGAGAATGAAAAAGAAAAATCAAATCGAAAAGGTGGGTGCAATGAAGAGAAGAATGTCTGCATTGCTGATCACAGGTGAGTAGGAAGGGCGGTTTGTGTTAATGAAGCGGTTGTTGTCTTATGATTGGTTTGATTACAATCTGGGTTCTCGTCAACTACTGAATTAACGCTTGGTTCGTTAGTTCCGATTCCTAACTAGCAAGAATTTGCCACAATGTACGCAGATTCATACATCTCCGCGTGGGCGATAAAGTATATCTGGAGAAAGAAGGTATATACAGTTCTTCGAGGAAATATCTTCTGTAGTACATTCAATAGAATGAAAGAAAGCGATACTAAAGATTTAATTTCGATGAAAAAAACATTCTATTAACGCTATACAAAATCCAATTTTTGTAAACTCTTGTTTAGGAAATGAATAAAATATTAAAGTCATGTCTTATGTAGTTCTTTATTTTGTATTTTATTTTACCAGTGGATACTGAACGCACATCTATGAAAATTTATTTTCGTCATCACATTCACCTTTCGTATTACAGACTTATAATGGACAAAAGTTATATATAAATATATAAATGGGATTGAAGAAAAATCCAACATCCAATTCTGAGAAAAAGCAAATTCCATGGTGAACAACAATTTTCCACATCCTTTGGGAGATTGAAACCACACAAAATACTTCTGTAATCCTTTATTCTAAGTGTGCACAGCGTCAAAGAGGTTTGTTTGGGAACCAAATTAAATGTATATTCACATTGAAGTCAATTTTAAGCTACGGACTTGGCTAAGAGTTGTATTTAATCAATAAGAACACACAGTATTTGATTAGCAAAGGTGAGTAGGTGCAGAATTCTTCTTTGGTTTGATTCTTCTGACCATCGAGATAAATGGTCAAGTTGAGTGGACAGTGCAGGAATGGAATGTCAAGATCACTGTCGTGTTATTGATGTCTCGGTAGATTCTTCGAGACAGGCCATTCCTAATAACACTAAATGCGATAGAAGATGTCTACATCAAAGGGAAGCATTAATCTCTACATCTCAGAAAATGTGTAGATCACCACACACACACAGAGATTTACTTGCATATGTGTATGTTTATGTATGTGGATATACGCAAGTAAATCTTCTTATAGTTTCGCCAGTTGCATGCTGCGCTTGTACGCGAATTCAGTTATGTGTAAAATCTATTTAATGTAACTATATTTCTCTGAACTGATTTCTATCTGTTGTGACACGAAACGGATAAGACAATTCATTGCTTACATTATTTCCTTGATTAAGGGAATTGTTCTTTCGTTTCTTTACACAGCTATTTTTGTATAATATACAATCAATAAGAATGACTATAATGTCAATTTAATATTTTCTGAAATATTCCTACTACAAGCTGATTATATTTTCTTTTTTAACTATTCACGTTTTGCATAATATTCTCTCCGCATCAGTGATTATTATTTCTTCGACAAGTTATGAAGCAAAGCTTCAGATTCAGTATATTCTTAAATTTCTACAGTTTTAGATACCTTTCGATAAAGTCCAACATTTACTGAGGTGATAACAGTAAGAGAAACTAGTCCATCATTCAGTGTCCAAAATAGACACGAATGAAGAGAAATGTACACTTGATTAAAAAAGAAAACGAGTGAATTCATTTACAAAAATACACTTTACAATTTAGTTGATCTTTTGTAAATTTTCTTTTAACGTTTCATTCTCCTCCAAGATATATTGCTCTTTCGCAAAAACTATTTGCGATGATTGAATCCTTTCTCTGTTTATAATTTAATGTAATAGAGACTTAATTTGTAACATACCGAAATATAAACAAACGAGTTTAAACGGCCGACCAATGATGCTATCTCCATGCCGACAGGAAAAGCAAAATTTCAGCTAATCTTGCTGTAACTGAATATGAAAAATGTGAGTTCGCATTAAAATTTTCCTCATTATAAGCCATCGAGAATTAAGAAAAAAGATTAAAAGCTTCATCACACATTGGAACATTGCTAATAAAACATTTTTATTCTAAAATATAAAAAACAAAAACACATTGCTGTCTGAATTTCTGTGACAATATGTTCTTACTAATCAATAGATAAAAAGGAAAAAGAGCTTTCATATATAAATACGTTGTTTCGATCAATCAGATACAAAATCAATATACTAAAATTTCATCTTTTTAGTCGCTGACAATTCTTTTCGTATAATAATACTTCACTCGGTTTCGCGATTGTTGCAGATTATGTTAACATGTGATCAGCCTATCAGAGTTTAGTTGGATCTCTTTATGTGTTAGGGTTTATGAAATACACACACACACACACACACACATATATATATATATGTATATATTAACAACCTCTATGGATTTCTATTTTTCAATCATCCAAAATTAAAATCTATCAAATATATTTAGTGTACTTTTTAAATTTTTTTAATTTTTAATTCTTTTTTGCCTGAAATTCAGTATTGTCAGCAGCAAGAGTATATCCACTTTTGGCTTGGCTACAGCAAGTCACAAGTGAAAATTTAATCACGAATTGATTTTCGTTGTGGCCAAAGAGTTCAAGATAACCAGGAACTTGAGGAATTATGACGGCTTTTTGCTCTTACTACTACTACTACTGTTTGTTACCATATATTCAATGGAAATATTTTGATTATTTTCTTAGCTAGTAACCTTTCCACGAGAATAAAAATGGCTAGAATTTAGATTAATCAGAGAAAGAAATATTTTAAAGAAAGACAAAGTTTTTTGTTAAAAGAATAGAGAATAAAATATTACTATCTGGAATATATATCAAGGGATTATCATCAACACATTACTCTGTTTGGTTCCAAGAATACTGAATATTGCAGATTAGCGTTTTTCAGATCTTAAACTCATTCTCAGCAGCAAAATTCTCTCCTCTTGAAATAAAGCTTGTATAATAAGAGAATTCTCTTCTCTTTCAGAGTGGCATGTTGTTCTTGGCATATTTAAATGTAAATGTCAATCAGAGGACAAAACAGCTAAGATAAATTTTTCTTTGATATATATATATATATATATATATATATATATATATATATATATATATATATATATATATATATCAAGAGATATACAGGTATTTCTACATATCACTCGGTAAAATTCTATAGAAAAATATGCTCAAAATAAGCGTTAACATTTGATCGCATAATGAGTGTTGAAATTGACTATACACATCTTGATACATGTTATGCTGGTTGCACACTGATATGTACATCTCATTGACATATAAATATATGATCAATTCAGTGTGACATATGCTCAACTTTGTATTTATATTCAAACGCGCATGCGCATGCGACCAGCGCACACACACACACACACACACACACACACACACACACACACACACACACACACACTATATATATATATATATATACATGTGTGTATGTATGTATATACACAATCTGACCGGAAAGTATCTAGTTATTTAGAATTGCTCAACTATCAATTTCTCAGGTCTCATGCAGGCTTTATTAGGTATCGTAGGACAAATATTATCATACAAGTATACACCGTACAAATTTATCTCCTGGTGACACTTGGATTTCTCAAAATTAAATCGCCGGTGAAAGGGAGAAAATTCTGTACCTTGGATGATATTAAGGAGACCATGGAAGGTAGGTCATAGCGGTTTAGAAGGTGGGCTGTTTTAAAAAGACGAGTGGTTGCTGGAATAAGTGAGTGAGTTTCCAACTGGTATATACTGGAGCGCACTATGGATACTTTTTCGTTAGATTTAAATGGCGAAATCGTTTCCTGACAAACTCATAGAACACTACACACATGCATATAAATTTGCTCAAGCATATGCATACACATATATATATAATTTTATACGTAAACATATATACAGACATCCTCTTGTCGCCTATACATACTATTATATAGTAGATATATATACTAGACTAGCAGTATCGACCGGGTCATTCATTACTGGGAATTTTTGCCGTTCAATTGGAGCAGTTAAAGTTTAAAGTTAGCCCACACGAAAATCAATATTAGTAACAACAATTGGGTGCAGCTGAGGCACATCCTCAAATGGGGTGGTTAACACTTTGAATGGGGGTGGGGAGGTGACCCTGAAAAGGGCCGTTTTTGAGTTCTCAATCTTGTTTCAGTCTCACGAGCAGCAGCAGTTGAAGAGGTGTTTCTCCTCAGTCGTTGAGTCCTTTGCTCATCATTTTCAGTCTCGCGCGCAGAACCGTTCAGGTATTCTCTTCTGGAAAGCCGATGGCTACGTTGATCGTCGGACTCTGATTGCTCTGATTGAAGCATTCCGAGAGGCATTTTGGGACAGGCAAACTGAACGTTCTAAAGACGATTCGTTATCTCTTATTCGCATGGTGGAGCTGGTGGCAGCGGTATTGCGACCTAGGCAAGTTATTTTCGTTGGTGGTATGTCTTAGGAAAGTATGTAGAAACGCATAAACAACATCCGATCACACACACATATACACACACAAACACACATTTTGAGAATTATAGATAATATTATTGTAATAATTTAAACTATTTATTTTTATTAAAGTTTTTATGAAAGATATATATCCAAGAACGGGTAGTAAATAGTAAAAGGTTGCTGAGAGTTATAATGTACAGGAAGCAGTGGAGAGCCATTGTCGCTAATAATTTGGACTCAAAATCGGCAATGAAGAACTATTCATCGAAATCGGATGAAAACTGTGGAAACGCATGAACAACATCCGATCACACACGCACATATCTCTCTCTCTCTCTCTCTCTCTCTCTCTCTATATATATATATATATATATATATATATATATATATACACATACTTTGAGAATTATAGATATAGATACATACTTCTTTTAGAGAAGAAGATTTAATGAATGTTATCTATGAAGTTAGTAACCCCCCCCCAAACCCCGACATCTAAAAATATTTATTACATTTTGTTTTATCTATTCGCAGCATAAAATCGATTTGAGATAAACTGTTATTCAAAGTTCAATAAAATGGTTTCTATTCGTGGAGATTTGTTTGCGTGTTTCTTATAAAAAAGAAAGTTATATATATATATATATATATATATATATATATATATATATATTTATGCATATTCCTTATAATTAAATTGAGTATATTTAATGTATTTTCGCTGAGAGCTATTCTAAAACACATGAAAATTCTTTATAATTTCTTAAATTTTGAAAAGGTGTTTTTGTTTTTAAGTAAAACTTTCGTATTGAATATTACTAATATTGAAAAACGTTATTCAAGCAAAATATTTACATATCAAAAATTAAATTTGAATACTTGAAACTTGATACTTTGTTCATGCAACTTTACAAAACATATATCTAACACTGTGAGAGATTATGGAGCAAACAATGAATACTTTCAGAACGCTTTTCGTCGAGATTAAGTGTGATTCTATACCAGCCAAGAGTAATATTCATCAATAGAGCACTAATATTCATCAATAAAGCACTAATATTCATCAATAAAGCACTAATATTCATCAATAAAGCACTAATATTCATCAATAAAGCACTAATATTCATCAATAAAGCACTAATATTCATCAATAAAGCACTAATATTCAACAATAAAGCACTAATATTCATCAATAAAGCACTAATATTCATCAATAAAGCACTAATATTCATCAATAAAGCACTAATATTCATCAATAAAAGCACTAATATTCATCAATAAAGCACTAATATTCATCAATAAAGCACTAATATTCATCAATAAAGCACTAATATTCATCAATAAAGCACTAATATTCATCAATAAAGCACTAATATTCATCAATAAAGCACTAATATTCATCAATAAAGCACTAATATTGCCATAATTATAGTGGATTTAATGAAATGAAAAATGAAAAGAAACTTCAGTGTAGGAAGTTTTAACCGTCATTAGAAAATAAATTATACGGTAAAATTGAATGCTATAAAAGAAATTAATAAATTTATGAAAAATATGAAATAAATGGTAAGTGAAAATTTGAATAAAAAATAGGATTTGATTACTGTTTGCAGATTTAGGTGAAGGGAGGATCTACTAGAAAAATAAAAAATGGGAAAGAATTAAAGAAAAAAATGAATGTATTAACCCGAAGAAAATGAAGCAAAAAACGAAGAAAACAAAACGAAAAATAAAAATACAAGTAATATGTCCATAAGCAAAAAATAAACAAGCTTTAGAGAGAAAAAAAAAACATTCAAAAGAAAAGAAATAAGAAAACAACAAAAAAAAGTACAACGCATTAGAGAAGTGGGGGAAAATGGGAGATTGAAAAACGAGATTTGATAATAATAAAAGAACGAGTTATTGTGAGAATTAAAACATAACAAGGAATCATTATTTGAAAACTGAAAAGAGGAAGGAAAATGACACTGAGTTAAAATATGATTATAGAAGAAAAGAATTAAATACTGAGTAAGTCTTGTAAAGAAATTTCAACAAATAAGGAAATTCATATATTATTTAACATACTGTAAGATATCAAAAATAAAAATAACAAAGACAAACATAATGAAACGGAAAGAAAAGGAAACAAGGAAAAATTATTTGCATTTACATGCGGACTATTGTCCCCATCTTTGTTGCTGTTATCGCAAACTTTCGGTCATTGTAGCCTTGTCGATCCGGGAAAATCTTCAGAGAATTTCTACAAACAATGGATGAAAGCTGAGAAGTTGTGATAACAACAAAGATCGGAACTATAGTCCGCGTGCAAATAATGTAAACAACGATAACTCCACATTCCAATAATTCAGGCAGGAAGAAAGATGTAAGCAAATACAAGCGAATAATAAACGGTGAAGCTATAGAAAGAAAGAAAATGTGTAAGAAAGAAAGGGTTTAGAAAAAGTAAGGCCAAGGAAAGATGAATAAAAAGGAAAGACGAGAACTTTAACTGTGTGTAAGTAGTTAGGTAGGTATATATAGAGAGAAATGAAACAACAGTAAAAACGAAAACGAAAAATAAACAAATAAAAGTAAAATGGACGAATTAGCAGAACAATACAAAAGACGAAAAAAAGGATTACTATAAAAACAAATACATCAGCAAAAATGGTCAAGAAGAATAAAAGTGGTAATGAAAGTGGCTAAATAACTGCATAGGGAGATGTAAAAAAGAATGACAACTAGATAAAACATGGAAACTTAAAATATTGGAAATAATTAGAATTTATTGAAGAACAGGAAAATTACGACAGAAATCAAACGGCTATGTACAAATAAATGAAAGCAGAAGTAAAAAGACTGGTTGAAAAAAGAAAGAGCACAGAGGGAAAACATCCAGGAGAAGATGTGGGTGGATGAGCGTGTATGTATGTATGTATGTATGTATGTATGTATGTGAGAGAAAGAAAGATGCACAGTGAGTTGATGACATAAAAAGTCAAGTGGTTCTGTTTACAGTTTGCGCAAGAAACAAACGCGAAATCAGGCTTGAGGGAAACAGGCGTAGGGTAGCAGAGGGTGGATCGAATCAGGTAATTTTAAAAAAGGATAAATGAAGGGAATTGTCGAGTTGGGTTGGGCTGAGGAAAAGGAGGAATCAATTCCATGCAAGAAAGAGTTGAAGAAAGGAAAATGAGGTCCTTATTTTCCCTTTCTGCACATCAAATATTTTTGCCTGTAAAGTTCGTTTACTGAATTCTCATTTTCTTTTTATCGATTTTAGGTTGTTTTGATATTTTATTGGAATTTACGATCAGTTACATATTTGTTAGTTTATTTTGCTAGCAAAGTGCTAATAAATAAACAATGTTTGCATTACAGACGCAGAGTTACAGGCATATAAATTCTGAAAGTTGCTATTTTATCATCACCGACAATTTAAAGCTTTTTACTTCTTAAAAAACTTAATGCTGCTTTCATATTTTTATTGTATTTTACCACTAACGAAAATGTAAAAAAAAGCATTAGGTTTATCGAATGTGAAGATGAGAAGACAAATTTAAAAGAAGAGTTGATAAATGAGAAGGAACGAAAAAGGAGAAAATATCAAAAACGAAAAAAGAATGAAAAAACAAATACAAAACAAACAGAATAAACAGAAAGGCAAATGAAAAGGAAAATGAAAAAAACAAAAGTAAAGGAACTTGAAAATATTGAACGGAAGTGAAAAGATAAAACGGAAAGAAACGTGAAAATGATGAACGGAAAGGAAAAAGCAAAAAAAAAAAAAACCCAAAAAACAAAAACAAAAAAAAACAAACAAAACAAACCGAAATGAAATGAAAGTGAAAAAAATCCAAACGAACAGTAAATTAAAAAACAAAACAACAAACCGAAAGTAAAGTAAAAAAAAAACATCAAAACGAAATGTAAAGAAAAAGCAATAATAAAAAATGAAGTAAAAAAAAAACAGCAAAAATGTAAAGAAAGAAATAGGAAAAACAGCAAAAAACATACGAACGAAAAAAAGCAACAAAAACAACAAAAATACAAGGGAAAGGAAAATAGACAAAAGCACCAAAATCTAGAACAAAGGAAAAAAAAAAAAAAAAAAAACGGAAAAATCAGCAAAAACGGAATGGGAAGTAAAAAGAAGAAAAACAGTAAATCTGAAAATATAGAAAAGAAAAAACAGCAAAATCGGAAAGAAGAAAAATGGGAACAAATAGAAATGAAAGAAAACAGCCAGAAAGAAAAAAAGGAAATGACCGAACAAAGAAAAACGGAAAGAAAACGCTGAAAAAGTAACGAAAAGGAAGGAAAACGGTAATAAAAGAAAAAAGTAAAGAAAAAATCCATTCCGTTTTCACATGTTCTTCCTTTTATTCTCTTGTATTTTTTTATTTTCTTACTTTTTTTTATCGTCCTCTTCCCATCATCCTTCATTTTTATTCTTTTTTAAATTCGTTCCGTATCCCCTTCTTACTTTACATTAATCTCTTGTTTTCTTTTTTGAAGTCAGATTTACTTAATCTTCGATCTTTTCGAAATTGAATCATCTTTACTTTATTTCAATGAAGATATTAAAAAAAAAAAAGACTTTAAAAGACAAGCACACATTTTACAATTACAAATACCAGAAACCGGATGAAAAACTTTTATTGTTGTTGGTTAAAATGACGTCTTTTATTTCAAGGAATCAAACTTGAAAATATTTGAGTTTCTTTTACAGAAAAGAGCCCAAATCTTGATATTTTTCGGCATCACAAAGAAAAACAGAGTAAAGAAAAAGACAAAAGCATAAAAGCTCGCAAGTCAGCATTAAACGTAAAAATTGACTGAAATAGAATGACAGAACGAAATCGAAAGTTTAATATTGAGATTAAGAGATCTATATATATATATATATATATATATATATATATATATATATATATATATATATATATATATATATATATATATATGTATGTATAGATAGATAGATAGATAGATAGATAGAGAGAGAGAGAGAGAGAAAGAGTAGATAAAGATAGATAGCGATAGGGATAGATATATATAGATAAAGATAAATAGAGATAGATATAAATATATATATATATATATATATATATATATATATATATATATATATATATATATATATATAGATAGATAGATAGATAGATATAGGAATATTAACTATCACCTATTTTTCTCGAAATGTTTTATTCTGAATCTATCCTAGAAACACATATTAGATTAAATGAATCTTATTGATGGTGAGCAAATTGTAATATAATGACGTGTTTGATCGGCACGAGAAGATGCATTGCCTATGTTGCTCGATTTATCTCTACCTATTCATGTTGGATGTTTTATCGTCAAATTCTGTGCGGTCATGTTTTTATGTCATTCTTGATGACCATAACATAAAAGTAGGGTCACAAAAGTTGACACTAGAATTGATTTTATGGTACAGGGAATAGGTCATATGTAAATTCAAGCGAACGAATAGGTAGATTTCTTTTGTATGATTTTTGACACACCCTATTAAGAATGTGGAATTGATAGTATCCTTGCAATAATCGTAAAGGAATGTGTTTCTGAAATGCCCCCTGTTCACTCCAAACTCTAGAATAAATGATTTGCTGTTTCTACCTGTTAGAAATTCTCTTTTGTACTTCCTGTTTTTAAGACAAACCGACCGATCCTTCTCTCGAAATATTAGTCTTTTACTTAGAGGCTTCAATCAACTTCAAATTTGTTAAGTATTTCAACTCACATGGTCATCTTTCAAACAATCAATATGGCTTTCACTCATTTGGGTCATCTGTTGATGTGTTAACGGTTATTGATGAAAGAGTGTAGATAAGGGTGAAGCTCGGATAATGTTTTGGTTTTCACACGTTGAAAGGTTGTGGTAGTTCTGGATGAATTTCTTATTTGACTCAATCTTTATCTAATCGTGAAATGTAAGTTGTCTTGAACAGCCACTCTTATATACATTCATTAATTCGGATGTGTCTCTCAGAGTTCCCTTCCTTGTTCTTAATTTTCATCAACGATCTTCTCGATGTCATTTGTTCTTGAGTAGTTATCTATTTCTGATTTCACAACTGTTTACTCCTATCTTAATAGTAAGTCTGATAGGTTCGATAATGTCAAATGGCAGCTGATCTAAGAATGATTTTCAGTCTGTTAACTTGGACAAGAAATAACTTGTTAATTTTAACGCCTCTAAAACGGAACTGCTTTTTTTTAATCGTCTTATAAAACTTTTTTGCCTTCCATCACCATGGCTGATGCTAACCTCCACGGGAGGGACTCATTTCTGTTTTCTTGGCTGACATTTTCCTCTAGCAAGAAGTGGAACGATTATATTCAATCAATTGCTAGGAAAGTTGGTTCACTGTGCCGTTCTAGACAAGTTTTCTAGACAGAATATATTTTATATCTTTATACAATAGCATTAGTCCATGCACTGAATATTACAGTCAAATTTGGTCTGGTGCTTCTACTATGTATTTAGAGAAGATTTTTGATAAAATCCAAGTAAGAATTTATAATATTGGTATTGACCTGGCATCTCGGTTTCAATCATTTTCCCACTACTGTAATGTGGCTTCCCTGTGCCTTTTCTATAAATACTTTCATGGTAATTCTTATGAGCTTTCTTCTTTGTTATCTTGACTTTATCAATTAAAGCGCAGTACTAATTTGGCACCTAGTTTTCATCATTTTACAGATTAAGTTGCGAGAAGAAACCTTAAGTTCTATGCTAACAGTTTTTCTTGCATTTCTAGATTGTGGAACTTTAAACTGTTTAAAATATAAATTAATTTTTACTGTAAACTAGCAAATATAACTGGTCTTGCCCCGATCTCTAAATATCTTCAACTTGATGAAGGGTAAACAGAACCAAATTGGGATTGCACACACAAATGACCTGAAAGATGGTCTATTCACATATATATCCCCCTGAAGACGTGCTAACATTTACTTCTCCAACTGAAAACTTCATATCACTATTCTATGCTAACAGTTTCTTCTCTCGCACTTTTCGCCTGTGAACTCTCTTTGGGTTTCTTGCTTTCCAGTCAACTTCGATCTTGAAAAATTTAAATGCAACGTCACTGGTTATCGTCTGTTTTATTAATTGATGTTCTTTTATTGTTCTCTATCCTTAATATTTTCTTTTTTATTGTTTCACGCTGAATAACCTGAGAAACTTAGTGGCTTCATTGCCTCTCTTGAAGTGAAAGGATTTGATTTGATTAAAAAGAGCTCTCCAATCTATGTGATAAAATAGTTTACATTTTCAACCCCTGGAATTAAAATTATCTACAACCGATTTGAAAATAAGCAAGAAATAAAACAACTTGGTACCATTGATCAATGTTTCTGAATGGAGGTTGGAAGACGTACGTTTACTTACAGGTGAATGAATGACAAACGGAAAAATTTTCATCGGACGAAACACGTTAGACAGAATTTTTCCATGGTCATTCATTTCCTTAAGTGTGTTCAGATATTTTTCTTCCATCATTATTTATATAAACAGACTGTCATCTACTCGAAAATGCAATAAACATTGAACCCAGTTCCCTAATCATAGTAAGGTTTTTAAATTTTAAAGACTTTCGCTGTCCACCACGCTTTGTGTATATATATATATATATATATATATATATATATATATATATATATATATATATATATATATATATATATATATATGCGTATGTCTGTTGTGCATTAATGACAAATGTTTGTGGCACAAGTATATGTAAATAACTCATGCACAACACAAACAAACATATAAACACAATTTCAAATAAAACAATGGAATTAAAAACTACACCGAATGGTTTTGCCTTTCTTCTATTTTAGAAATTGATCCGGTCTGTTGTCGTATGAGGCGTAATATGTAAATAGGTAGTTTGGCTGTGGCAGCCATGAGACCTGAATCAAATTTAACGTCTGTGGCATATGTTGTTGGAGCCAGAAACATGTGCCACGTGAAAACTGCATGCGCACGTAGGTAACATAAAAATGAAATCATGATTTACTGACAACAAATGTAACCATCCAAGGAAGAATTTATAGCAAGATTACATCTCCATTTAACGCTGGTATTAATCAACTTATTATTCAACACACTGAGTACACTGTATTTAATGTAAGCGTCTATCAAGGGTGCAGTTATTGTTAATATACAACGGCATTGATTGGTGCTTTTCCTCTGTCACAATTGGACTATGAGAAAACTAGCTCTGTGTCACCTGGTCAAACGATTCACATTTCCAACTTTTAGGGACAGAAGGTCGAGTTTGTGTGGAGGAGATACGCCAGACATACAGCAATCTTATTCAGACCATTGCTACACCCTTTCGTTCGCAATTATATTTGCCGGTAGTGAGGGTTTGTTTCAGCAAGCTAGTCTCTCGGAAACACTCTGCTGATACCACATTCGGAATGTATAGGATATGTTTCAAACCTTAATAATTTTGATGTAGCGGCACCAAACAGTAGGACAGTCTTAGAACATGCCTGGATAGATATAAGTACGTATCGACTCTATTACTTTGCAATCTCCATGTCGCATCAAATAACCTCCGTTATTTATCAGAAGGGAGGTGCTATGCTATTAGCTTTTATTGCAGTTGAGTTTATTAGTATTATTTTGAACTTTCATGTAATTGAAACCTACTTTGGAGATGGAGTGTAAGTCTCTTCAATTTAACAGCACCCTCCTCAGTATTCGAACTCTTTTTCGTAGTGCTGTTGTTTGGATGCTTTCGAATCTTCCACAAATCATGTAGCCTTTTTGCTAGGCTTTTCGGGATTGTGCATAGTGTTCCAAAATTATTGGCAGTAATATCCTTTTCATGTTCCACAATTAGAAAATTTGTGAAGTTTTAGCAAACTCTTTGGTCTGCTGAGAAAGCAAAATTAGTTCATAAGTTTTTGTCATGATTTTATGCTTTGTCTGGATTAGTTAATCCAACCGAATATCAAAGTCCCAGAAGGTTTTCGGCTTTTCATCCTCTAAACAGATTCTGATTAATACATGGATCATGGGTCTCTATTATCAAATCGTAGCAATTATTATTGTGGCGTTGTGTTAAATGAAGCGAAGTTGATAAATAGTGTCACTGAAAAGGCAGAATCCTTATGTTGGTTACTTTCTAATATAAACTGTCAGATATTGCTTTGTGAAATGATGTTTTTCTACTGGGAAACGTTGGACACGATTAATAATAGCGGATGACTTAGAAAAGAGAATCGTGAAATACTTCTTCGTTATTGATACATAGTAAAAAATGATTTATCTTTTATTCCGGGAAGTGTATCTTTTGTGCGTGACAACTTAGGGA